TAAAAGTATTCAGACGTTAATGCATCGGTATATGTCCTAGTATAAATTGCTAATTTTAACGAAACTAAAGAGAGGTAGCAAAAAAGAAAAGAAAAAAAGATGGAAAAAAGGTGTTCTTAGTTAACCATTTCTGTTTCCCACAGGTTCTGCTGGTAACACTTACAGCGGCTGCTTTTGCAGCTCCGCAAGGATATACCGTGGGTGCTCCATCAGGTACAGGGCTCTCGTCTGGACCAGGACCAGACCCTTCGGGAGGAGGGAGTTCACACGAAGATCAGAGTTCACACGAAGATGATTCTAGCCGTGGAGACGGTGCCACTGCTGCCTGCAAAGAGGGGGAAGTTCAACATGTAGATGGTACTTGTGTAGTTCCCGATATCACAAGAAAAGTATATCTTTTTGAAGTTCCCGAGCAGGAACAGCACGTTGGTCCACCACCCAGTCTTCCTCCTCCGGCAGAAGAGCACAACATCCTCTTCGTACGCCTTCCTGAGGAAGGACCAGCACCTGAGCCAATCGTTCTTCCTCCGCCAAGACAGAACAACATTGTTTATGTCCTCAACAAACAGGACGAACAAGTTCAGCGAGTGATCGAAGTACCAGCTCACCCTCAAGTAGACCCTGAGATTTACTTCGTCAACTACCAAGAAGGAGAAAATCCAACCCTTCCCTTAGGAGTGGACCTTGAAACTGCTCTCAGTTCTGCTGCAGCTGCTGGTGGCCAAGTCCTTGTTGGCGTTGGCGATGTTGATGGAGCTGTTGCAGGAGAAGAAGGAAGTGGAGCCGAATTAGGCAGTGTCACTGCAGCCGGTATCGATTTGCAAGTTAATGGTGGCGTTGGAGTAGAACCGTCTGGTCTTTATACGACGCCATAATTCTCCTGAATTCTTATCAGTATAACTGTTGTTTTTTTCTGTCGATATATAAATCTAAGTCTATAAAAAATATTACATATTAAAAGTAATTTTATGCAATATTTTCTTTATTCATATCCACCAAAATCTATACATCTATTGCATGATAAGTAGCTCAGGGAAATGCGAGATGTGACCTCTATAAATACCAGCATTTTATTAAAATAAAAATATTTTATCTAAAATACTTGGTCCAGGCTTGTTCACTGGCATCAATTGAGCAAAATCCTCCTCTTTTATCATATTTTATAAATTTCAAATTCCAAAGAGAAAACGATATATATGAAAACAAAGTATGTTTAATAGTAGTTTGTGATACATCTTGGGAAGCCCTCAATACATTAAAAAAAATAAATTCTTCCCACTAATATAAATACACTCTTATACATAAGTATAATGGTGTTCATAAGGAACAAGACACTGAAAGTCATTTCATTAGGTCCATACATTCACTGTAATTCTGGAACCATATACATGAGATATATGCCATTCCTCGAGTAAACCTCAACGTATATGTTATATAAATATATACATATAGTTATAGATTAAATTCCTTCGTTACAATATTTTTCAAATAAGGATTTCCGATCCTTCACTGATTCTCTTGTTATCGCTCACGGTATATCCTTTTATAGCAATAATACTAGTAAGATTTGGGTTTACTATAAGGTACAGGATTCCTGTCTGGACTGAAACCAAACTCCAGCCTAAAAGATGACCATAACATTGCTGCATGCATTCGTGTAGTGTTCAAAACAATAATAATAGCTTCACAGTTTAATGTTACTAAACAGGATCAGCCTGTCCGGCCACCCCCCACCCCTATGAGAAGTGGGTGCTATAATTCTGTATAAAAGTCAGTACCGCAACCAGACTCTGCAAGTGTGAACATTTTGTCAATATTTTAATAAATATCAATATGTGCATTTACGCCCATTATTCAATAATGGTAGCCTATGTATCTGATTATTTACTTTTCTATATAACAAAAGGCACGTGCGCGTACGCTACATTATACACACCCAAACTCACACCTAGACACAGATATATATATATATATAGATATATATATGTATGTATGCATATATATATGTATGTATATATATGTACACACACACACACACACACACACACACACACACACATATATATATATATATATATTTTTTTTTTTCTTCTTCTTTTTTTTTCTTTTTCTTTTCTTTTTTTAATACACATATTCGGATGTGTGGGGGTATCTGAGTGTATGTGTCTATATATACATATATCAATATAAGCATATACATATGAATTATCATACTCTCTCTCTCTCTCTCTCTCTCTCTATATATATATATATATATATATATATATATATATATATATATATTTCAATTTATATTCAAATTTTATAGTCTATTACGGCTAATAATACTATTTCTATGAAGAGGACCAGTTTGGATTCAGGGATACATACATACATATATACGATTTATTTATTCAAACCGTCTAAATTTGGGTAAACAATGTCTTTACAATCTTTCAGTATTCCCTTTGATTGTAAAGTTAATGTTTACGTGGGTGGCCAAGACTTTTTATGACATCAAGTTACGTTCATTCTTTTCATGAATGTCGTGTCTTTTTCGAATAGTCCCAATTTCCTGTATGCCACAATATTATCTTCCGAGAATTCAAGATGTTCAACCTTTGTATAGTGTTCGATGCCTTATACACACACACACACACACACACACACACACACACACACACACACACACACACATATATATATATATATTTATAGTTTACTTTTGTACATGCCTTAATATGGCTTTCTCTTTGATTACATCAGCCAAATTAGATGTGACTTCATATTTTTCATATTCTTTACCGTCTCTGCAAGATGGGTCTTTATATCTTCCTTTGTGCTCTTGATACCTTTTTCTTATGTTTCTTTTTCTATATCATTAACTAGTACCTTTACTCTCGATACATTAGCATATGTAGCTGTCATAATTTTTGCCCATTCCAGAATTTGAGTTTAGCTATTTGCAAAATTTTTATTGCTTTTACATTTTCTGTAAATACATTGCTTCTATTTGAGTTGTTCTCTTACGTAAATTATGAATCATTTCCTTCAAAGCCACATTTTCTTCACGTATTTTCTAAAACATTCTGCTACCAGGCTGTCTACTTTGGCTTCGAGGGCCACAGTTATAACTACTGCTCTCACTACCGTCATTTCCGTAATTTGATCTCACGGTAGTTGGCCCTATGCGTGAATCGATTACTGTCCCGGCTCCCAAAACCTCACAATTCCTTTAATTTCTTATTTCTTTTTTTTTTTTCTTTTTTTATTTGTTCATTTTATGTTTAAATATTTTCTTTCTTTCAACCTGAATTGTGCACGTTCACAGAACTCATGGCTAACACACAAGATCATCCATTGCCCGAGCTTTGTATTCAATTAACGTGTAAGTTCTGAAACTGGGCTGATGCGCTGCACTGCACTCGATGCGTGCGTGCGTGCGAGCATGCGTCTGTGTGTGCATCAGAAAGAAATGGACAGATCTGCATTCTTTTAATTTGGTATCTCAATCACAAACCCTAGCTACTAAGAATGATTGTTCTAAATTATATTCTTACTTAAAAGGAATAAAATAATAATAATAATTAATCAGATATAGAAAATGACAAGGTGAATTGTGGGCAGGTTACACTGGAGGTCACACTAGAAAGGGCGTTCATATAAAAGGCATCAACGAACAACTCTTATGCATACATTCAGCCATTCACCATGAAATTAGTCGTAAGTTGAATGCTTGAAAGTATTCCAACATTAATGCATTTAAATATGTCTTAGTATAAATTGCTAATTTTAACGAAACCAAAGAGAGGCAGAAAAAAAAAACTTATGAATCGAAGAAAAGGTGTTATAAGTTAACCATTTCTGTTTCTGTTGCGCACAGGTTCTGCTGGTAACACTTACAGCGGCTGCTTTTGCAGCTCCGCAAGGATATACCGTGGGTGCTCCATCAGGTGCACGGCTCTCGTCTGGACCAGGACCAGAGCCTTCGGGAGGAGTGAGTTCACACGAAGATCAGAGTTCACACGAAGATGATTCTAGCCGTGGAGACGGTGCCCTTGGTGCCTGCAAAGAGGGGGAAGTTCGACATGTAGATGGTACTTGTGTAGTTCCCGATATCACAAGAAAAGTATATCTTTTTGAAGTTCCCGAGCAGGAACAGCCCGTTGGTCCACCACCCAGTCTTCCTCCTCCGGCAGTAGAGCACAATATCCTCTTCGTACGCCTTCCTGAGGAGGGACCAGCACCTGAGCCAATCGTTCTTCCTCCGCCAAGACAGAACAACATTGTCTATATCCTCAACAAACAGGACGAACAAGTTCAGCGAGTGATCGAAGTACCAGCTCACCCTCAAGTAGATCCTGAGATTTACTTCGTTAACTATCAAGAAGGAGAAAATCCAACCCTTCCCTTAGGAGTGGACCTTGAAACTGTTCTCAGTTCTGCTGCAGCTGCTGGTGGCCAAGTCCTCGGTGGCGTTGGAGATGTTGATGGAGCTGCTGCAGGACAAGGAGGAAGCGGAGCCGAATTAGGCAGTGTCAGTGCAGCCAGTATCGGTTTGCAAGTTAATGGTGGCGCTGGAATAGAACCGTCTGGTCTTTATGCGACGCCATAATTATCCTGAATTCTTATCAGTATCACTGTTAATGTTTTTTCGATATATCAATCTATGTCTATATTTAAAAAATATTCTATATTAAAAGTAATTCTATGCAATATCTTCTTTATCCATATCCACCAAAATCTATACATCTACTGTATGATAAGCAGTTCAGAGAAATGGAAGATGTCCTATAAATACCAGTATTTTATTAAAGTAAAATACTGATATTAATAAAACAAGATCCTCCTGTTTTATCTATTTTTTATATATATTTCAAATTTCAAAGAAAAATCTGGATGCATGTGAGAAAAACAGGTAATTTTAAAAGTAGATGTCATTCAGCATCTCGGGAAGCCCTTAATACTTAAAAAAAAATCTGTTCCCACTAGTATAAATACACTCACACATATGTGTAAAGATGCTTATAAGAAACAAGACAATGAAAGTATTTTCATTGTGTCCATACATTCAAGGAACCATATACATGAGAGAGGTACAGTTGTTCGCGTAAACCTCAACGTATATGTAGATAGTTATAGATTGAATTAGTTCAATACAAATATATTTTCAGATAACAATATCCGTTCCTTCACTGATTCCCTTGTTATCGCTCGCGGTAAACTAGCAAGATTTGGGTTTACTCTAAGGTGCAAGACTCGTCTGGACTAAAACTAGACTGGATAGGGGCCAGCATAAAAAAAAATATTATAGCAATATAATGGGTGCCACTATTGCATGTCATTGCTACATGCATTCGTGTAGTGCTCAAAACCATGATAATAGTTTGACTGGGGTCAGCCCGTTAGGCCACCTCCCGTGAGAGATATATTCTGTTAAATTTTCAATGCCATAACCAGACTTCTCATGTGTGGATATTTTGTAAATATCATATCTTAATAAAGATCATTATATACAGTGAATCAGCATGTGCTTTTGTGCCTATTATTCAAGAATGTAAGCCTATCTATCACATTACACACACAGACGGGTATTTGTATGTGTGTGTGTGTGTGTTTGTGTGTGTGTGTGTGTGTGTGTGTGTGTGTGTAGTGTGTGTGTGCTTACACAAACACACACACACAGAGGCACACGCACACACACTTATTATATGCACAAGTATGTTTATATGTATACATACATAATTATATGTGTGTGTGTGTGTGTGCGCGCGTGTTTATGTATATATAAGTATATATATATAGATATATATGTATATATGTATACATACATATATATATATGTGTGTGTGTGTGTGTGGTTGTGTGAATATAAATATGATTCTGACAAAATCGTCAAAGCCGGAGTACAATCTAGTCTTAAATATAAAGTAGTCCTTCATGCTGAAATCGTTCATCTTGTATTTATGTAAGATATTGAGCAATTTGCCTTTTATTGGAGATGCAAGGGAACTGTCAGTTCTAGACTAGTTGCTTTAAAGGTCACACTAGAAAGGGCGTTCATATATAAAGCGCATACCCTCTTGTATACGCACATTCATTTATTCATCATGAAAACCCTTGTACGCTAGCCATCTCTTAAGTTACCCCAAGATAATAGAATTCTATATTGACTAAGATTAGTTTCCAGATTACAAATGTCACGCAGAGTTATACAATATATCTAAAGGGACAATCATTTTCTTATGAGGATTTCCATCTACAGGGATTGTTGATTACGCTAGCGGCCGCTGCTTTTGCAGCACCCAAAGGATATGACTTGGGTGTGCCATCAGGAGCAGGGTTGTCTTCTGAAACGGAATTTTCAGCAGGTCCTAGCTCAACTGAAACCGATCTTAGTAGTAGGGAGAATACCATTAGCGGTTGCGGAGATGGTAAAATTCTACATGTAGATGGTACTTGCGTAGTCCCCGAAATCACAAGAAATGTTTACTTGTTTAACGTTCCTGAACAGGAACAGGCTGCCGGCCCAACACCTAGTATTCCTCCCCCGGCAGTAGAGCACAATATCCTCTTCGTACGCCTTCCTGAGGAGCAACCAGCACCTGAGCCTATCGTCCTTCCTTCACCAAGACAGAATTACATTATTTATGTACTCAACAAGCAGGATGAACAAGTTCAGCGAGTGATTGAAGTACCAGCTCAGCCACAGACTGATCCTGAGATTTACTTCGTCAACTACCAAGATGGAGAAAACCCAATCCTTCCCCTTGGAGTAGATCTTGAGACAGCACTTAGTTCTGCTGCAGCAGCTGGCGGTCAAGTCCTTGGAGGTCTTGAAGGTGAAGTATTTAGTGGCACTGATGGTACCTTCGAAGAAGCTGGAATTGATGGTGCCGTCGGAGTTTCAGCAGAACACGGAGGACACGTTTTCGGAAGTGTAAATGGCGCTAATGGAGTTAATGGAGCCGGCGATGGCTTGGGTGTTAATGGAGGTTCAGGAATCAGTTCATCTGGACTTTACACAACGCCTTAA